ATTACCAATGTCCCCACACCGTGGTAACCAAAGGCACACCACACCATCAATTTATATGGATATTTCAGTCCCTTGGATGCATCTCGGGTCACACTTTCATGGCAGCGATAAACTTTGCTGTCTCTGTTTCCAGTTACACTCATCATCGCTCCATAACACTCATTTCCCCTTGTCCTCATCCCGCTGAAAATATTTCTTTCAAAAAGCAACTGTATTTTGCCTCTGCTTAAGAGTTAAAATCAGTTTCTTGCGAGCAATGCGGTGGGAAAATTTCAATTCATTGTGGAGCAGTCGCTGTATGGTCTCACAGACACACCAGCCAGTAACACAGGGTTCCTTTCTTTTAATTCTGGTGCTGTTATTCGTGGCTGACTATCCACCTGCCTCCTGAGCACATTTAATGTGCGTTTAGATGTTTTCTGTGGCCTCCCTGATTGCTTTTTCTGCAGTGGCGGGTCAGTGTCTCCACAGTCATGAAATTTTGTTGTCCACCTCTGGACACTTTGCAATGAAATTCCGATTGTATTTGATATTTCTGTTGTAATAGCAGCAATCTGATCACTTTTCAGATGTTTTGCTCCACCCATCATAACACACTGGCCAAAAACAGCAACAGAACTCAGGCAAAATGCTAGACTATTCATTGAAAATCGTCGTAGCAATTTTTCTCACTGTCACAGCCCTAGAGGTAATTGAGTGATATCTGAAACTACCAATCTATCAGCTGACGGGGCGTCAAGATTATAGGTCGATTTGCATGATATTAGAGGGGCATTACCGAAAAACGTTAAAAATCTTGGCGTGGTCCCTCTCGCACCAAGATATCTGATGTGCACTGTGTGTATGTATGTATGTATGTATCTATATGTTTATATATATATATATATAATATATATATATATATATATATATATATATATATATATATATATATATATATATATATAAAGACATCACTTATCTACTCATACATGAATAATGATTGCAAAGTTTTCCACACACTGTCTGTGGGCACTCAGTGTTAATTGATTTAGCAATTCAGATCTGAAGTAGATGGGTCACATTTCAATATCTGATCATTACTATTGTCTAGATTTATTCTTTCTTTGTTTCCTTTTCAAATGAACTTGCTGCTTTTCATTGAGAATTTAGAAAATAAATACCTTCTCCAACATAAATTTCAATGTTCCAGGGATCATCAGGTTTTCTACCAGGGATTCTTGCAAGTGGCAGAAATCGAAACGAAGAGCAAGGCCCCCAGGGTGCTGCTGCGTCCGGTGTTTTTTCGGGCAAACATAGTTGCAAAAAGATTCATCCTGCATCCATTCACTGTCCATTTTCTAAATACTTATTACAGGTGAGTCAGGATGGATTCTCTGAATTGTAGCTTCATCTTGCCTTATGCAAATAGATTTAGAATTTTGCCCAGTAGTTTTTTTTCTCTCTCTCTCTTTATACTTCATGGTATATTTATGCTTAACATTCAGAATCATAGTATTAATGTCCCTTAGGAAGAATTTTCCTTTATATATATAAATATGTGTTTTAGTGTGTGTGCGTGTGTGTTGTAGCGTGTGTGTGTGTGTGTGTGTGTGTGTGTGTGTGTGTGTGTGTGTGTGTGTGTGTGTGTGTGTGTGTGTGTGTGTGTGTGTGTGTGTGTGTGTGTGTGTGTGTGTATGTTTTAGTGTGTGTGTGTGTGTTTTAGTGTGCATGTGTGTGTGTGTGTTTTAGTGTACATGTGTGTGTGTTTTAGTGTACATGTGTGTGTGTGTGTTTTAGTGTGTATGTGTGTGTATATGTGTGTTTTAGTGTGTGTGTGTGTGTGTGTGTGTGTGTGTTGTGTGTGTGTGTTGTGTGTTGTGTGTGTGTGTGTGTTTTAGTGTGTTTGTGTGTGTTTTAGTGAGTGTGTGTGTGTTTTAGTGAGTGTGTGTGTTTTAGTGAGTGTGTGTGTGTGTTTATGTGTGTGTGCGTGTTTTAGTGTGTGTGTGTTTTAGTGTGTGTTTGTATGTGTTTTAGTGTGTGTGTGTGTGTGTGTGTGTGTGTGTGTGTGTGTGTGTGTGTGTGTGTGTGTGTGTGTGTGTGTGTGTATGTGTTTTAGTGTGTGTATGTGTTTTAGTTTTGTGTTTGTGTTTAGTGTGTGTGTTTTAGTGTGTGTGTGTGTTTTAGTGTGTGTGTGTTTTAGTGTGTGTGTGTTTTAGTGTGTGTGTTGTGTGTGTTTAGTGTGTGTGTGTGTGTGTTTTAGTGTGTGTGTGTGTGTGTGTTTTAGTTGTGTGTGTTGTGTGTGTGTTTTAGTGTGTATTGTGTGTGTGTTGTGTGTGTGTGTGTGTGTGTGTGTGTGTGGGTGTGTGTGTGTGTGTGTGGTGTGTGTGTTTGTTGTTTTAGTGTGGTGTGTGTGTGTGTTTGTTTTGGTGTGTGTGTGTGTGTTTTAGTGTGTGTGTGTGTGTGTGTGTATATAGACATATATATATATATATATATATTATATATATATATATATATATATATATTATATATATTATATATATATTAATATGTATGTATTTATTATATAAATATTTATATTTATAGATATACATAAATATGTGTATATATATATATATATATATATTATAATATATATATATATTACATATATTATATATATATAAATTATGTATATATATGTACACACGTGCATGCGTGCATGTGTGCATATGTGTGTGTGTCTGTTGATTTAAATGCATGTGTTGTTATAAGGTTTACATTGTTGCTGTATTACTGTCAGTGTTGTATTGATTAATACGTATTGTTTATTCCAGCTTGAGGTTCAAGGCATTGAGAACAAGTTGAAAGAGCAGAACATGAGAAGGACTGAAATGAAAATGCTGAATAAGTCCATAAAAGGTCTTACTGAACTTAATCCGAGCAGTGGGAAGGAAGAAAGAGATAAGGATAAAAAACAGAAGGAGGAGAATGCAGGGAAGAAAAGAACTGTGCAAGATATCAGCATTCAAGAAAATATAGATCATAGTTTTCCTTGCCAGAGAAAAAAAAATGAGAATCAGATAGTTATGGATGACAAAAACATCCAGAAACATCTTTCTAAAGTCAAGTTTAATGAAACTGAGACACTGAATGAAAAAATTAGACCTTCAGGAAAGGGTGAAAGATCTTTTATTCAGAAATTAGATTCTAACAAACATATGAATCATGACACTAAAAAAAGAGGAGGTGGAATGAGCAGCTTAAAAACTGCATGTTTAAAAAATGGAAGCAGGAAGATATATAAGCATGGATATATGTGTTCTAAAAAGGATAAAAGTTTAAGTATTGAAGCCTGTAGGAAGGACAAAGGAAAGGAAGATTTTCACATAAAATTAAAGCACAATGCTAGTTCAAGAAGTGCAAATGGGGGGAGAGGAAGTAAGTTGGATAGCACTGAGAAGAAAATTATGAGTAAGGTAAAAAGAAAGGAACAAAGTCCTCTACCAAGATGGCTAAATGGTGCACCACGTTTACGACGCATATTGACACTTAGTCCAGCTAGTCACAAAGGACGAATATGGGTACCTTTAAAATTATCACATCAAGACATATACACCAACAGTTCTGGCAGAGCAGTCAATCAAGATGGCCATGATGATAAAGAACCAGGTAAAGCCTCACATTTCAAGACAATAGATAATGAAAACATTCAATCTCATGAAAATAATTGTAATTATAAATCAGTTTTGTCTCAAGAGGTACAAGAAAAGCACAGGACATCAGACAAAAACAATCACGAGGACAACCGTTTGAAAATGCTCATAGGGAAGTGTACAAAGTTATTGCCAGAGGAGTTGTCACATAGTGCAGAGTCATCTATAGAAGTTAGTAAACAAATACAGAAGTGTAATCCTACACTTGATAAGCAAGAAAAACACCAAGAATCCCTCAAGTTACACCCAAGACTAATCACATATGTAACTGATGAAAATGACAAACGATTTTCAGAGAAGGAAAGGACCCCAGATAATGAAGATTTTTATGCTTGCACCAGAAAAAATCAGATGAGGGAACTGCACTATATTTACAAGGATACTACTATTTTATCTGCTGAAGAACCTCAAAAAACATCAACGCCTACCAAAGGTAGGCTTAGACTCAGTGATTTCACTCGTAAAGTATATGAGGTTGAAAGTGGTTTGAGCTTTGCCCGAAATAGGAAAGACAAGACGCCATACCTAGATAAATCTATTCCCACACCCTGGAGATCCCAGACCAGTACACAAACCCCAGGAGGAAGCAGTGGAAAATCATCCTCCAGAACTCCAACAGATCCTGTATTTGACAGATCCTTGGAAGACCCCTTTGAGACACACGGAGACTCTGAAGCATGTGAAGTAACAGAAGGGAACCTGAGCATTGTGAAGAGCCAGCAAAAAGCAACTTGTGAGGCAGCCCATGACATCCCACCAAACAGTGAAAATGTTTATGTAACCGGTACAAATTTGGAATCAGGAGTACACATGATAATACTCAACAGTCTGTCAGACCGAAGGCAATGTGATATCATTTCAACTGATGCCAGACAGCAAAATATGCCAGGAAATGATGATGAAAGAAAAGGAGAAACAGAGATATGCTGTGCTCATACAATATCACTTATGGAAGTTCCACAAAGCACTAGGATTTATAGAAAGTTAAATCAGTTAGATAAGAAAGATGGCAATATACTGTATAAAAATGGAGAACAAAGAAACAGTTCAGATGATCAATCAAATCTATTAACTGCTTCATCACGTTCATCAGAATATTTGTATGAAGTTAAGAGAAAAGAAGCTTCTCAAGAAAAGGCTAGTGAAATGTTTTTTCATTATCCAGAAAAGTTGGCAAAGAGCCCAAACAAGCTAAAAGATTATCCTAGTCCTGACTTTGCATTGGACAGTACACAAGGTATGGTTGAGCACTTATTTTTCAATATTAAGACTAACCATGGACTGTTCTCTGATAGTGACATATCTGCATCACAGGAAGAGATA